TACTAGATATGGGAGATGGCATATTAAATGATTCCAATGATAACATACAACTACCGAATTGTTGTATTGCATCTGTTAATGCCGATATTGTAGAAAATATATATGGTGATTTAATACGGAATAAAGAATTTAATAAAATGGCTAAATGTGCGATACTTTCTGCAAGAAATGCTGATGTAGATGAAATTAATAAACGAGTTGTCGAATTATTAGATACTTTTGAAGAACGAATATATACAAGTATAGATAGTACTGAAAATTGCAGTGATAATGGTGACATTAGTGAAACTTTACTACCAGAATATTTAAATACTTTGTCTCCACCATCTCTTCCTCCTTATGAATTACGTTTAAGAAAAAATTGTATTATTATGTTGATTAGAAATCTTAGTATTAATGAAGGTCTTTGCAATGGTACCAGATTAATGGTTCTAGAACTTGCTGATCATTTATTAAAATGCAAAATCTTAACAGGCGATAAAGTAGGAGATGTTGTTTTCTTAAATCGTATAACATTGTATTGCGAAAATATATATCCCTTTACTTTTAAAAGAAGACAGTTTCCAATAAAATTAGCTTTTGCAATGACAATTAACAAATCACAGGGACAGACATTTGACAGAATAGGAATAGATCTTCGCAAAGATGTTTTTAATCATGGACAACTTTATGTTGCTTTTTCACGAGTACGTTCTTGGCAAGCATTAAAAGTTTATCTTGGCAATCAACGAGATAATGAACAAGTGAAAAACTATGTATATAAAGAAATATATTTATAATATTGCATTATTTAAATTTTTTTCTTTTATTATAATATATCTTTTTATCATTTTATTATTATATATCTTTTTATTATTAATTACTTATATCAAGAATTATATATGTACATATATATGTATACATATATATATATGATTTCTTATTTTTAAAATTTTTTAATAAAGATAGTCTTTAAATGATAATTAACTGATAATTTTAAGATAGTTTAGAAATGTCACAGATGTATTATAAAAATATATAATATTAATATTTAATTGCTCATTGTAAATGGCGCGCGCGAAGCGCGCGCCTTGTGTTGTTCTAGTAACGAATAAAAGTTATACAAAAACAAATATGAAATCATACATAAATTGCCAAGTATTTGATTAAACATAGAGAGTAAAGACAAAAATATTTTATTTCAAAGAGGAAAAATATTTTTTTGGTAAATCGTTTAAATTATTCAAAATTATATACAGCAAAAGTTTAATGCCATTGTCTTTCCAAATAACTTTAAGTTTCGTAAAACAGACTTAAAGTTATTAAAATGATCAAAAGAATCAGTGAAGCAAAAACTTGGCCATTATGTAAAATTTTTTCTTTTTTTAAAATGATTAGTATCTCGATAACTATTGA